AGTCACCAAGAAAACAATTGGTAACACACTATGCCGTGAAGGACTGAAATCCTGCAGCGCCCGCAAGGTCCCCCTGCTCAAGAAAGCACATATACATGCCCGTCTGAAGTTTGCCAATGAACATCTGAATGATTCAGAGGAGAACTGGGTGAAAGTGTTGTGGTCAGATGAGACCAAAATCGAGCTCTTTGGCATCAACTCAACTCGCCGTGTTTGGAGGAGGAGGAATGCTGCCTATGACCCCAAGAACACCATCCCCACCGTCAAACATGGAGGTGGAAACATTATGCTTTGGGGGTGTTTTTCTGCTAAGGGGACAGGACAACTTCACCGCATCAAAGGGACGATGGACAGGGCCATGTACCATCAAATCTTGGGTGAGAACCTCCCTCAGCCAGGGCATTGGAAATGGGTCGTGGATGGGTATTCCAGCATGACAATGACCCAAAACACACGGCCAAGGCAACAAAGGAGTGGCTCAAGAAGAAGCACATTAAGGTCCTGGAGTGGCCTAGCCTGTCTCCAGACCTTAATCCCATAGAAAATCTGTGGAGGGAGCTGAAGGTTCGAGTTGCCAAACGTCAGCCTCGAACCTTAATGACTTGGAGAAGATCTGCAAAGAGGAATGGGACAAAATCCCTCCTGAGATGTGTGCAAACCTGGTGGCCAACTACAAGAAACATCTGACCTCTGTGATTGCCAACAAGGGTTTTGCCACCAAGTACTAAGTCATGTTTTGCAGAGGGGTCAAATACTTATTTCCCTCATTAAAATGCAAATCAATTTATAACATTTTTGACATGCGTTTTTCTGGATTTTTTTATTGTTATTCTGTCTTTCACTGTTCAAATAAATCTACCATTAAAATTATTGACTGATCATGTCTTTGTCAGTGGGCAAATGTACAAAATCAGCAGGGGATCAAATACCTTTTTCCCTCACTGTACATAGCATTGGGAAAGTATACAGACACATTGACTTTTCTACATTTTGTTACTTTACAGCCTTATTCTAAAATGGATCAAATTAAAAATGTTCCTCATCAATCTACACACAATACCCCATAATGACAAAGCAAAAACAGGTTTCTAGAAATGTTTGAAAATGTATTAAAAAATAAAAACAGAAATACCTTATTTACATAAGTATTCAGACCCTTTGCTATGAGGCTCGAAATTGAGCTCAGGTTCATCCTGTTTCCATTGATCATCCTTAAGATGTTTCTACAACTTGATTGAAGTCCACCTGTGGTAAATTCAATTGATTGGACATGATTTGGAAAGGCACACACCTGTCTATATAAGGACCCACAGTTGACAGTGCATGTCAGAGCAAAAACCAAGCCATGAGGGTGAAGGAATTGTCCGTAGAGCTACGAGACAGGATTGTGTCGAGGCACTGATCTGGGGAAGGGTACCAAAAAATGTCTGCAGCATTGGCCTCCATCGTTCTTAAATGGAAGAAGTTTGGAACCACCAAGACTCTTCCTAGTGCTGGCCGCCTGGCCAAACTGAGCAATCTGGGGAGAAGGGCCTTGGTCAGGGAGGTGACCAAGAACCCGATGGTCACTCTGACAGAGCTTCAGAAATTCCTCTGTGGAGATGGTTGTCCTTCTGGAAGGTTCTCCCATCTCTGCAGCACTCCACCAATCAGGCTTTTATTGTAGAGTGGGCAGACGGAATCCACTCCTCAGTAAAAGGCACATGACAGCCCGCTTGGAGTTTGCCAAGAGGCGCCTAAAGGACTCTCAGACCATGATAAACAAGATTCTCTGGTCTGATGAAACCAAGACTGAACTCTTTGGCCTGAATGCCAAGCGTCACGTCTGGAGGAAACCAGGCACCGCTCCTCACCTGGCCAATACCATCCCTACGGTGAAGCATGGTGGTGGCAGCATCATGCTGTTGGGATGTTTTTCAGTGGCAGGGACTGGGATACTAGTCAGGATCGAGGGAAAGATGAACGGAGCGAAGTACAGAGAGATCCTTGATGAAAACCTGCTCCAGAGCGCTCAGGACCTCAGACTGGGGCGAAGGTTCACCTTCCAACAGGACAACGACCCTAAGCACACAGCCAAGACTATGCAGGAGTGGCTTCGGGACAAGTCTCTGAATGTGCTTGAGTGGCCCAGCCAGAGCCGAGACTTGAACCCGATCGAACATCTCTGGAGAGACCTGAAAATAGCTGTGCAGCGACACTCCCCATCCAACCTGACAGAGCTTGAGAGGATCTGCAGAGAAGAATGGGAGAAACTCCCCAAATACAGGTGTGCCCAGCTTGTAGCGTCATACCCAAGAAGACTCGATGCTGTAATCGCTGCCAAAGGTGTGTTAGGAGGAAAAATCCTGGATAACCTCTTTAAGCTTGTATAGCAGAGACAGTGTAATGAAGAATTACTTTAATAGTTCTTCATGCTAACCTTTGTTATGCACATGTGCTGTATGAGCCTTAAACCTGTAAATGTCCACTGTCTGTTTGAAGGTCTTGTAAGAAGAAACTGGTATTTTTCCCACTCTGCCTCTGTTCAACTTAGTCACACGGCCAAGACAAAGGGCCGTCTGAGAGTGACCAGTATTTGGTCCATCCTATTATTTTCTTATCTTTTAAGGGCACAGCTGTGTGGAGATATGAAGTGAACAGAGGCTGGCTTGAGCATCATTGACAATTCTATCAGCAGAAAGGAGTAACGTTATCACTTGTTTGTGCGCTATGATTTCACATACCCGGTACACATAACCACAAGATGAACGCAAGGTAGCTCATGATGCCCCGATCTGCCGGGGAGGGGTGGAACCAGCCAGGACTAGGCATTTTTAGGTGTACTATATAAGACCTCTGCACTTTTTGTATTGTTGGGCTCTCAATGAATCACCTACGGATGGTTCGTTGACCAGCTCCATTATTGCAATAATTAATCGATATTAAAGTAGGATTGTTTGAAGAATCTGCAGTCTCTTCCTTTTGATTTAAGAATTTCCACGACAGGTGCTTCAACAAAGTACTGAGTAAAGGGTCTGAATACTTATGTAAATATGATATTTAAGTTTTTATTTCTAAAAACCTGTTTTTTTTATAAATTGATCGTAAATGTTGTGATCTGACTAAAGAATAGTCATCTTCAAGTACTGTCTGTACGGGTCTATTAATTTGGCATTTGTACAAGCTTGTCAGAGTCTATATAACTTGTGACTTTTTTTTTAGGGTCAGTGCTAGTCTAGATACAAGGTAGCCTACTGACCTATTTCCTGGGCTCATATCACCTGTATTTTAACCTAGATAACTATTTGTGGCTAGTACCTACCTCATGTACACATTTAGACTTTTGTTTACTCTGTAAAAGTTCAGATGTACTGTTACTGTACCACTCTGTTGTGTATCTTGTACAGTGAGTGAAGAGTTGAGCTGTTGCATATAGAGACCTGCTAGAATAACATTGCATTGCATCATATGTTGTGTTGCCATAAATGTTCATATTGTCTGAAGGTCAGACCTAAATCCACTGTACAAACTGTCTTCATACAAAATATGACACTGACCTAAATAGATAAGACATAGGTGAACTAGAACTAAACTAATCAGATTGAATTCACACAATGAATAAAGCCCTTAATTGGTTCCATGTATGTGCAGCATGGGCTACTATGTATTGTTACTATTTTTTGGAATGACTGGTGTTTGTACTTTTCAAAAAAGAGCAGCGGTGGAATATGTTCAGTACATCATGTTCCTGTCTGAACATCCTGCAAAAAAAAAAAAACATACTGACGTTGAAGCCCCATTGGATGCGCGTGTGCGCGCGGAAATGTGAGAATATTCGCCTATTGGCATATCGGATTTTTATTGATATAACAATTTTATTGATGTGTTGTAAGGTGAAGGGATATGACTCATGTTCTTCACACATTTCCAATCCAATGGTAGAACGGTTGCGCTGGGTGTAAATAAATGATAGGGACACGCCAGCTGTTCAGTATAGTGCGAGCTCGTGCTTCATAGGCTACCGCGGCTGCCGCCGCCTTGCTTTTGCACGTGCCATAACCACGCCCCTCAACAGCTTGTCTCTGCACGTGAAGGAGAGAAAAGAACACACGTGTGTTGTTTGGCCAGGAGTGTGGATACAAATGTATCAATGTTTAATGTATCCTGTCATCATGTGTTGCAGAGGAGAAACTGGATACAATGCATCTTCATATAAAATGAAAGTAAGTATCCAACGTTGGAAACAGAGATAAAGCCTAAGACAGGGATCATCAACTAGATTCAGATTCAGCCACGGGCAAATGTTTTCTTGAGCAGGTGGTCTGAGGCCCGGAACATAATAAACATATATTTTTTTAGACTGCAAATTTACTGCAAGAAGCCTAAACAGATATCATATTTATCTAAAACATAATTTCAAACCTTGATTACATTTGGGAACATTGTCCTGATTAGGGTGCCGTCTTTCGGATGGGACGTTAAAACGGTGTCCTGACTCTGTGGTCATTCAAAATCCCATTGCGCTTATTGTAAGAGTAGGGGCGTTCTCCCTGGTGTCATGGCTAAATTCCCAACCTGGCCACCTAATCATCCCCTATCATTCCTAATTGGCATATATCACTCCTCACCTCTCCAACTGATAGCTGAACCCTGGCCTACGATTTGATGTAGCCTAGTAGTTGACATTAAAGGGGCAACTTAAGTAGCCTATGTCGTGAAGCATCCTTGTCCTCCTCCAGTTCCCAGGGTCAGTGAATGTGCTGTAGCTGGCCATAGCTCTAGAGCTGTATGCCTATCTGGTTTTGCTAAATGCAGCCTACAATAGGAGTCAGGAGACACTATGTTCACATTCTGAACGCAATGTACAGTTATTTCTGTACGAAGGATTGAAACGGAGTGTTCCTCCAGCCAATGAGCTCCGGGTGTGTTCTACTGCTTCTGTTTTGACTGGCTCACCAGCGAGTTTTCTATGTCAGCTACTTAATATTAAAAACTACATATGTGAGCAATCCGCGCCGAGTATTTTCTGAAGAGGCGTATAGCTCATGAATAACAAAACAGCGCTCGCAGTAGGCTACGACCGACAGGATCCGTGGTGTTGTTTTGACAACGTTATAATTTGTGAAGCAGGTTTCAAAGCAACAGACTGAAACACTGCTTTGCCTTCATTTTTATACGGATATTTCAAACAGTGCCTCTGCAGCCTACGTCGGGTCTACATAAATCGTTTCCTATTGTTTTGAAGAAGATTATGGACATTCCCCCACCTAATATTCTCGAAGGCGACGATGGTAAGACTAGCTTATTCGTGTCGTTTTGGATGAATTGAGAGATCCTTTCCAATGTACACATTTTTTATGTGAACTGCATAGATCTGACGCGGACATGTTGACTGGTGTATAGAGACGTATTAGTGCTTTTAATGAGCGTTTGTGTACCACTCAAACAACTGGACACATTGGTTGTTGTTTTGTTTTTTAATCAGCTGTGTTTGATCATTATATATGACTAGTTAAATAGTGGTTCAAATGTGTCAAGTATAGAGCAGTACTGGGGAAGTCAACCCTTCGTACATTGAGTGCTGTGCCAGTTTCCCCTGAGGCACTGAACTGAGGGGGGGGAAAGAACATAAAGTTCTCACACCTCCCTGCTTGTTCTTGGGCTCTGCAGTCAAACCATTTTTCACATACAATATGAGTACATCATTTTCTTACATTTGAAGGTGCAATTCATATTTTTTTCATGTTAGTTTTTGTGTTTAGGGGCTGTGTTGACAAGTCCAGATTTCCCTTCCCGTTTATTGGTTCATGCCCCCCCCCCCCTTTCATTTCCCTCATTCTGTAATTTCACCACCTATTTTTTTCTACTTCTTTCCATCTTGTCTGGGTTCACATGGTCATGCCCCCTTCACTCATTATGCTCTTCACTGTTATCTCCACAGAAATAGAGAAGAAGAAGTTGTGCTCCGCCGATAACAGCGAGGCCGGTGTTGGAGGGGGCAGTGGTGGGACCGGAGGTACAGGCGTTGGAGGGGTGTCCGCCTCCCTCACCCCTGCCATCTGGGAGAAGACCATCCCCTATGATGGGGAGACCTTCCACTTGGAGTACATGGACCTGGATGAGTTCCTGCAGGAGAATGGCATCCCAGTCACCTTAGAGGAGGAGCTGCAGAAGAGCCTGGCCCAGGAGGAAACCAAGGGGACAAGACCCCCTACCGCCACAGTCACCTCTGACACAGAGACCGTCACACTCACCCTAGAGCCAGCTGAACAAGAGAAGGAAGAAGAAGATGGGGAGGAGGAAGATGCTGTGTCTGGGTTTGAAGCAGCAGAGGGTGAAGTGTCTAAAAATAAAAAAGGTTCATTCTTGGGGCCCATTGTTAAAGGCCCAGACAAATTCTACCTTTGAACTCAGCATACACATATACTGACACTGAAATAGACGCTTGCAACATGCTGACACTAGATACTTACATATTGTATTCAAATGTCAAATAGACGTACCCATAAACCACTGACTCTTGGACACATGGTGTTGCGCACTTGACTTTTCCATACTGGTTCATGGCCATACATACACACTTTGCCTCCAGCACACACATGGACACACTTACATGTGAAACCTGAGCTACAGCATTGACAAATAGCAGTATTCATATAGGGCTGACCTTAGAGTGTCTTAAGGAAATAATCTAGCAAACAGCAGTGAATTTTCCATTAACTATAGCCTTCAAGATTATAAAAAACATACTTAACAGCCACCAAAATAAAATAAAAAAGTAAGGTTTCTCCATGGAAATATACTGCTCATTGATTTAAATTTGTCTCCCTCTAGAAGGTAAGTCTGCAGACCGACTCACGCCCACTCCCATCGACCCAGAGGACATTGAGGTGGACATCAACTTCCAGCCGGACCCCACAGACCTGGTTCTGTCCAGCGTGCCCGGGGGTGAGCTGTTCAACCCACGCAAACACAAGTTCTCTGACGAGGACCTCAAACCACAGCCCATGATCAAGAAGGCCAAGAAGGTCTTTGTGCCCACTGAGCAGAAGGTAAGATGATCTGTGAATATTCGTTTCAGGGAGGTGATGAACGATGGAACTGGTTGTTCTGTAGTAGGATAATGAGAATGTAGGCACTGCAATTGGGCACCAAATAATCATTGGTTGATGAAGATTGTAGTATCACTATGTTACACCAGCAAAATGAATGAGCGAGTAGTAAGTCATGAAATAAGGGGGCTTGTCTGGGATTAGGGATGTTTCCACAACACTGATTCTATTATTCTCTATTAAAATCCTCTGTTGATGTCTGGTTCTGTTGTTCAACTCTGTCTCTCACAGGACGATAAATACTGGTCGAGGAGGAAGAAGAACAACGTGGCAGCTAAACGTTCACGTGACGCCCGGCGGCTGAAGGAGAATCAGATCACAGTGCGCGCTTCGTTTCTGGAGAGGGAAAATGCGGTGTTGCGGCAACAAGTGGCTGAGTTGCGAAAGGACTGTGGTCGCTGCAAGAACATCATGTCCCGATATGAAGCCAAATACGGACCATTGTAAGGGACAAACTTTTTCTTTCAAGAAAATAACCGAAAAAGAAAACCGCCCCACAAAATGCAGACACAAACACAAAGGGAATCTGAAATGTACTGCTTTCATGGTGAACACCGGTCACTGCGTCAAGTTCTAGATCCTCTCCAACACGACAGTGGAGGCATGGATACACACTGTCAGTGAGCCAGCCAGCAACATGGCGAGAGGTGGACACGAAGGGTTGTGGAGAGCGACTGGCTCCTACACATACAGGGACTCAATTACGGACACAACATGTATATTGTCTACTGCTAGTCAGGTCTTATCACTGGCCAGAGAAGTCAGAGAAAGGTCTTATTACTGGAGAAAATCAGGCTTGTGAAAAGAAGCGCATTAAAAGTTACACACATTTATAGAGTGTATTAACGGGTTGTTTTGTGGACCAAAGCATGAACATCGTCAGTGATAAGTAGTGAATATTGAAAGTTGTCCCCCTGCCCTGCTCTACCCCTGTTTGCAGTAACTGACTGTCTCTCTCCTCTGTTTCAAGTACTCGTGCAGAGGCTCTAAAGAAAGACGTGAACTCTTGATTTATTCATAATGGGGTAGGGGAGAAACCAATTAAAAACAGAACGGACAGATCGAGGGTTGCACCTCCGTGATCGTACACAGAGGAAATATTTGATATTGGTCAGAGAAAGGGCGAGATAATGGTGTTGTCCGGTCACAGCTCTTCCTTCTATGTCTGTCTTTGCTTGTATCACACACTGAGGTGTGTGTGTGTAGAGAACTCTTTGTACATAGTCTTCTCCCTGCACCACATAGATTGTGTTACCCCTGTTTTGCACTCAACCCTTCCAAAGCAACACCTTGTGTGTGAAGATTAGATATAGGGTTGGGCGGGTACTTTTTTCCTACTATGACATGACCCACTAATTTTAAGCAATTGTTTATACAAAAACCAACTCCGCTTCTAATATCTTTAACCCAAAATACTGTTTTTTGGGGAAAGAGGAGTTTTAAAAAGTAGTAGGGAAAGGACTGTCTTTTCTCAGTATGTTTATTGCTCGTAGGTCAGGCATTTATAAGGGCCCTCACTGGTGGAGGGGTATTTACTATGTATGTTGGTTTATTTCACTGCACACTGCAAGTAGAGGGCACTATCTATTTGTGCCTCGTAGTTTGCCTGGGATTGTGAGACGGTTATTCTGTCAATAACTGTCTTTTTATCTTAATTTACTGCTATTCCTTATGTTTGTTGAATAGCCATTATGATCAATGCTGTATTCTAACAATGCATCTATTGATTGATGTGCAGCAATATGTCAGATTATATTTCTTTAGAGAAAAAAAATACAATGAACCAATGACTAAGCAGGGATCTCAATGGACAAACTGTGTTTTTAGATTTTTTTAAACAGGTTTTCAACCAGAATTATACAGGAATATTTGTTTTTTCTAAAGACAATTTCATATTTACCTCATCCAACACTTTCATTATTTCATGCTCCTATCTTATTGGATACCAATAATTATGAATGTTGGGGTGCCTACGACAATGTTGACAGGAATTGTGAGCACAAGAAAGGTGGTTTTGGCAAAAGTTTAACAAAAGAAAATGGTTCAGAGTTGACCCAGAGTTCTGTTTGTCAAAGTGGCTGTGCCTCAATTGTTGCAAATACTACATAGCAGACTGTTAAGTAAAGAGACTCAATCTCTTAAGTGTCTGATATGAATTTGTGTTCCTGTGCCGGTCTTCATTATGGTAACACATTAGAAACATACATGTGGCAATAATATTCATTTTACTCAATGCTTTGTTTCTGGTGTGTTTCTGTAAAATAACTATGATAGACTCCCGAGTGGCGCAGTGGTCTAAGGCACTGCATCCCAGTGCTAGCTGTGCCTCTAGAGATCCTGGTTCGAGTCCAGGCTCTGTCGCAGCCGGCCGCGACCGGGAGACCCATGGGCGGCGCACAATTGGTCCAGCGTCGTCCAAGGTAGGGGAGGGTTTGGCCGGCAGGGATGTGGGTTCGTTTCCCACGGGGAGCCAGTATGAAAAAAACAAAAAACATGTATGCATTCACTAACTGTAAGTCGCTCTGGATAAGAGCGTCTGCTAAATGACTAAAATATAAAAATGTAATAGACAAAATGTTGCAATGGCCCAAAGTCATGTGTGCTTCCAATTAAGTTTCCCAGTAATCCTGCTGCACGAAAACGTGTTAATGGTGTAATGTTTGCATATGTTTTACACTAAGTGTATGTACTTATGTCTGTAAATTAAAGGATCGAAACAAATATTTACTGATTTTACTTCTATGGAAGGCATTGCATTGCACTGACATTCTTATCTTGTCTGCTTAGGCAAATAGTTGTTTAAACAGTGATTTTAAGCTTGGGCAGAATCTTGTCAGATCATAGACCAACATTTAGGTATGACAGTCATTTTTGTATGATATCAAGTTACAAACTGGCTTTGATCCAGCTTTATGTAGAAACAAAACTCCTCAAGTTGTCCGAAACTATGTTCATTTTCTTTGTAGAAATTCTTGATGTGCAACATTCTCTGTTGCATCATATCAAATTATGGTCCATTCACAGACACGGTGTATAACTGAAGAATCCATGTGTACTACTACTAGTCTACATACTCTATACAGTGCATTCAGAAAGTATTCAGACCCCTTGACCTTTTCCACATTTTGTTATGTTACAGCCTTGTTCTAAAATGGATTGAATCGTTTTTTTCCCCTCTTCAATCTACACATAATACCCCTTAATAACAAAGCAAAAACAGGTTTTTAGTCATTTTTGCAAATGTATTAAAAAATATCATTTACATAAGTATTCAGACCCTTTACTTAGTACTTTGTTGAAGCAGCTTTGTCAGCGATTACAGCCTCGCGTCTTCTTGGGTATGATGTTACAAGTTTGGCACACCTGAATTCTCCCATTCTTCTTTGCAGATCCTCTCAAGCTCTGTCAGGTTGGATGGGGAGCATCCCTGCACAGCTATTATCAGGTCTCTCCAGAGATGTTCAAGTCCGGGCTCTGGCTGGGCCACTTAAGGACATTCAGAGACTTGTCCCGAAGCCACTCCTGCATTGTCTTGGCTGTGTGCTTAGGGTCAGTGTCCTGTTGGAAAGTAAACCTGAGCGCTCTGGAGCAGGTTTTCATCAAGGATCTCTCTGTACTTTGCTCCATTCATCTTTCCCTCGATCCTGACTAGTCTCTCAGTCCCTGCTGCTGAAAAACATCCCCACAGCATGATGCTGCCACCACCATGCTTCACCGTAGGGATGGTGCCAGGTTTCCTCCAGAAGGGAAGCTTGGCATTCAGGCCAAAGAGTTCAATCTTGTTTTCATCAGACCAGAGAATCTTGTTTCTCATGGTCTGAGAGTCCGTTAGTGCCTTTTGGCAAACTCTAAATGGGCTGTCATGTGCCTTTTACTGAGGAGTGGCTTCCATCTGGCCACTATCATAAAGGCCTGATTGGTGGAGTGCTGCAGAGATGGTTCTCCCATCTACACAGAGGAACTCTGGAACTCTGTCAGTGACCATCGGGTCCTTTTATTTTATTTTTTATTTTTTTAGGGGGTAGATCAGCTTTAATATTTCAGATTGTAACTTCCATCAATGTAATTGTCTGCATCACTTCCAATCCCCCATATGTTTTTTCCTCGCGAATATATATATATATATATATGTGTATATATATATATATATATATATATATATATATATATATATATATATATACACACACACAGTGGGGGAAAAAAAGTATTTAGTCAGCCACCAATTGTGCAAGTTCTCCCACTTAAAAAGATGAGAGAGGCCTGTAATTTTCATCATAGGTACACGTCAACTATGACAGACAAATTGAGGAAAGAAAATCCAGAAAATCACATTGTAGGATTTTTAATGAATTTATTTGCAAATTATGGTGGAAAATAAGTATTTGGTCACCTACAAACAAGCAAGATTTCTGGCTCTCACAGACCTGTAACTTCTTCTTTAAGAGGCTCCTCTGTCCTCCACTCGTTACCTGTATTAATGGCACCTGTTTGAACTTGTTATCAGTATAAAAGACACCTGTCCACAACCTCAAACAGTCACACTCCAAACTCCACTATGGCCAAGACCAAAGAGCTGTCAAAGGACACCAGAAACAAAATTGTAGACCTGCACCAGGCTGGGAAGACTGAATCTGCAATAGGTAAGCAGCTTGGTTTGAAGAAATCAACTGTGGGAGCAATTGTTAGGAAATGGAAGACATACAAGACCACTGATAATCTCCCTCGATCTGGGGCTCCATGCAAGATCTCACCCCGTGGGGTCAAAATGATCACAAGAACGGTGAGCAAAAATCCCAGAACCACACGGGGGGACCTAATGAATGACCTGCAGAGAGCTGGGACCAAAGTAACAAAGCCTACCATCAGTAACACACTACGCCGCCAGGGACTCAAATCCTGCAGTGCCAGACGTGTCCCCCTGCTTAAGCCAGTACATATCCAGGCCCGTCTGAAGTTTGCTAGAGTGCATTTGGATGATCCAGAAGAGGATTGGGAAAATGTAATATGGTCAGATGAAACCAAAATATAACTTTTTGGTAAAAACTCAACTTGCATCCAAATAACACCATACCTACTGTGAAGCATGGGGGTGGAAACAAGGGACCAGGACGACTGATCCGTGTAAAGGAAAGAATTAATGGGGCCATGTATCGTGAGATTTTGAGTGAAAACCTCCTTCCATCAGCAAGGGCATTGAAGATGAAACGTGGCTGGGTCTTTCAGCATGACAATGATCCCAAACACACCGCCCGGGCAACGAAGGAGTGGCTTCGTAAGAAGCATTTCAAGGTCCTGGAGTGGCCTAGCCAGTCTCCAGATCTCAACCCCATAGAAAATCTTTGGAGGGAGTTGAAAGTCCGTGTTGCCCAGTGACAGCCCCAAAACATCACTGCTCTAGAGGAGATCTGCATGGAGGAATGGGCCAAAATACCAGCAACAGAGTG